CATTCAAATACATTAAATTACAGGTTTTACACCAGCATCACCACGTAGCTGTGGGAAACACGTACCTGAATGTATGGATTTAATCATAGTATAATGTGCAAATTGAATGTATGTGCAAATGATGCCATTCAAAGTATTGGAAGACGTGTTTAAATATGTAAAAATTTCACTTATATTTCACAAATATTGTAATTTTTCCTTTTAAGTTCCTTTCTAATCATGTCTTATTTCTACATACTTTGCACATTATTTGAAAAATCTATTTTCCTTTAACATGGCTAATGTGTCTGAAAACAAAACTTCAGATGTGTTGAAGTGCTTGAAAAAAGTCTTAAATGTCACTTGACATCAATACAATTGTTGTTTTTTTCAAAATTTATTTCAAACAACAAAGAAATCTGAAGGTGCTGCTGAAGATTCGCGGCAGGGTCATCCATGTAGAAAGAAAAATGTAAACGGTTTATGTGACTCTGATTTTATTTTTCTGTAGTTTAATGAAATAGAGAGTTGAAGACGTTTCTCTCTGGAGGTCAGAAGCCGGGAGATTGTTTAATGAATATGTGACAAAGTTTAGAAGCAGAACGTCACAGGCAGCATTAAAATGTGTGAATTTTGCTGCGGTCTGAAATAAAATGCATGCCCACAGAAAGGTTCCTTTAAGATAATTTATTTTGTACAATAAAACTGAAGTCTAGAGCATGCTTTGTGGAGAAGACGGTGGAAGAATGACTTCTCACACACCCTGATGTTTCACTTCTCACCACTTGCATTGCTATTGAGTATCTTACAAAGATGGACAGTCAATCAACTTAGCAGTCAAATGTGACAAAGAGACTGATACGAGATGTCAAAACAGGAACTGCTACCAGTAGTTAACTCGTTGCCGATCAAACAAACTTTGCAGCAGGTGCGTTCAAGAACACCACAAATCTGAAACAAACATGAACCACAATATGCAGGATACTTAAAAACAAAACAAAAAAACTTTCAAAATATTTGTTCTACCATGCCACCAGCTTAGTAAAAAAAAAAAAAAATTCTGTAAGAATAAACATAGTACATCCACTCCAAGTTCTGTTCCCCCTCTCAGAAAGGCATGTTTGTGTTTTTCAGTAATTATGTGGCTAAGATCATCACATGGTGAGCATTGTGGGGTCATTGAACGCAGCCCTCTCCGCTTTCGGCCCAGGTTGGGGTGTGTGAGAGGTGTTTTGTTCCATTTACTTAGGAGGCCTGTAGGCGATCTTCCGGCTCTTCAGCACAGACCACCTGTGTCTCTTCATGTAGTAGAGCAGAGGCACAATGATAGCTGAGCCCATCAGCAGCTGATAGGAGAAAGAGAACACAAACATTAACCAATGCCAAGATCCATGCTTAGACGTGTTTTCTATGTTTTAAATATTCTTGAGACGACAGGAAAGTCATATAAGAAGTCGTACAGCTTAGTGCATGACATAAAAACTTTTATTGCATTTTATACCCACGACATGTTTTCTGTAAAATATCTTACAGAGTTGCATGTGTTGATT